ATGAGAGCCATCTCCTCCTTCTCTTTCTTCAGCCGGGCAAACTCCGAAGAAGAGCCCAAACCAAGCCGGTCAGCTGAAAGGGGTCCGATCTCCCCCGCCTGCGCGAAAGGAAAGATAGCCCGGTAAGATTCTCGTCAAGGGAAAAAGAAGATCAAAAGACCGGGGTAGCAACAGGACTTACCTCCTTCAGCCTCAGGCCTAGGTTGATGAAGGCCTCTTCAATAGACTGGCCGGCCGGCTCTGAGTCCCCTCTTTGCCTCTTCTTGGCGAAGGATGGGTGTGTGGTGGCCACCTTTTTTATCCGCCGGCCGGTTTTCTCCTTGCCCTTCCCTTTTGACCGGTCATCCTCCGGCTCGTCCAAATCGTGGATTTCCACGGTCTCTGGTTGGACCTAGAAGGTTTTCGCAGTACCGGCCTGAGAACAACCGGTCTCTCCCTCGGGCTGATCTTCGAGCATGGCGAATTCTTCGAACTCCATGTCTGCGAAAGTGGGCAAAACCATTATGTACAAGCAATAGTTTGCCCGGTCAAACTACGAAACACAAGAAAAAGGATAAATACCTGGGTGGTTCTGGCCCTCGGCCTCTGCAGTGTTGCCCGGGGAGGGTACCCCGTGCCCCGCTGCTTCCTGAGCCTGGGAGGTACCCTCACCACCCGACTCTACCCTCCAAACCCAGCTGCCTTGATGGAAGATCCTCCCGGTTTGAGGATCCCCGCGCATGAGGATCTCGAGGTTGGCTTCCAAGTCTGGGGAGGAGGCCGGTGCAGCGTACTCTTGGTCGAGCAGATGGTCGTTCCACTTCAGACTGGCAAGAGGAGTGAAGAAGGGGGGAAATTCGATAAAAACAAATTTTTCCTTCCATCCCCGGTTACTCTGGGGGACTTCGGAAATGAATTTCCTACCGGTGCGGGCTTTGAAGAATACAAAACCTTCGCAGCCAGCTCCGCCCGGTAGGACTTCGAAGCAAAAGAGAAAGAGACGCAAAGAAGGAAAAATTTTCAGATGAGTACAAATATTTACGAAGGAATGAAGGTACCGGTGGGCGTTAGGAGTTATTTGGCCGGGCAAAATCCTAAACGCGTGGCAAACTTCAGTAAGGAGGGGGCGAGGGGGAAAACCTATGCCCGCATCCAAGGAGATAGTATGGAACCCTATCCTATCCTCCCGGTGGGGTTCTACGATATTGGGCCAGTTGGGTTCGTAGAGGAGGGTATACCCATCTGGGAGCCTCCTACGAATTTTGTTCAGGGCGATTTTGGATACGCGTGAAGGGATGTCAAGAACGTAAAAGGTGGGGAGTGGAAAGTAACCGGCAGCATGGAGCCGCGCCTCCCACGCATCCCGGGTTTCGTGTTCGGGATCATAGGGACCCGGTTCATCATCAACCGGGTCATCCCTCCCCACGAAGGTTTCACCGGGCATCTGATTAACGGGATGCGGGTCAGGAATAGAGGACTGGGGAACCTGACCGGGCGAAGAGTCCAGAGAAGAAGACCCGGTCGAGGAAGAGGAGTTGGAATTCTCAGAGGAGCAGTCCTCTGAGGAAGAGACCCTATCGCTAAGGGGAGACATGACCGGGAAAAGTATAGAAGGAAAGGGGAACTTACTTGACTCGGAGGGCTGGATAGCGAAGAGAAGGAACTTGACCGGTGAAAGCTCTGAGACTTGATCGCGGAAAGTGAGCAAAGAAGAGGGGTGGAGGCCTTTATATAGGGGGAGAGGAGGCCAAAGGGAGCGACGTGGCCACGCAAGAACATGCCACGTCAAGCGGCGCAATGATGGCGCATGGGGAAGGCGATGGGACGCGACTGCAGCGATGGCCAGCGTCCAACACGTGTCAAAACCGACAGTTGGAGTTTTGAATTTGAAATATTCGAGCGGGAAAAATTAGAAATTTGAATTTGAGAGTCCTGTTTCAGACTTTTTACTTCCCGCTCATGACAAATTGCATGAACGAGAAGTGGAGGGCTTATTGATGGGTGTATTTCACCCAAGACCGGTCAAAGGAGGAGGACAAATCTTTGACCGGTCAATCTCGAATGTTTTGGAAGGGAGACTTTAATCGTCAGCAAAACGATATATCATCGGCCAAAATATGACCGGTACACTTCACAAAAAGTATACCGGTCAAACTACGTTGTCATCCTATTTGTTCCGGACTTCGATAAATTCATCCCTCGGAGATTACCCGGTGTAGTTTCTGGGGTTGGAAAGTGTCGGCAGGAGAGGATCTGCGAGGGTTTGGCGTGTAGCGACCCGTGTCAGTAGAGG